GACTGATGTTAAGAGTATACTTACATTTTACAAACATTTATTATATAGTCTGGCGAGTAAACAAAAAAATGTACTAGCCAATGGTGATTCAATTGCCAAAGTGTCCGTAGAGGGTTGAATGTGTTTTTTTTTTTTTCAGAATTCTTAGATTAATAGACAGTTCAAAAGCATTTATTTGAAACAGAAATTTTTTGTAACATTATAAATGTTTACTATCACTTCTAATCAATTTAATGGATCCTTTGAAAAAAAGATTAATAAAATCGTACTGATCCCAAACTATTGAACAGTGGTGTATTTAGAGGGAAAAAAAGTGTTATTGCATAACAAGATAATGATATAAATCTCACAGAGCAGAGTGGAGCTGAGCAAATATTAAAACAATACAAGAAGTAAAAAAAGGAAAAAAATTATAGTAAAATGATTGGAATGAATGGACATCTTACCTTTCAGTTAAAAAAGCTCAGCTTCTGGTTAGAAACATTACTTGTTTTAACTGCATTGTGATAAACGGACCAGCCTGAATAATAGAGTTTTCGATTGAAGTCAGATTTGAGAAAAGTAATGCTCATAAACAGTAACAAGCAGCCAAGATGGGCCACTGAGTTTAGCACTCTCAGTTCTGTAAATCTATTCTGCAGATTTCCTTCAACAGTCAACAGTGCTACCAAAGCACAGATTCCTTGTGGGACCTCATGACCGACAGCCTGGACCACATTTGAAACTCATTCATCCAACAATGTTCATTAAAAACCTGCCATTTGTTTCAAATTTATGTTGCTTCTGCGCTAATTGCCGCCACTGAGGTAAAGCGCTCACGTGTTCGCCATCAAAGACTTTGTCTGTTACCGCACAATGCAATTACAGTTTATAAATACATACAAACAGCATCCCTGTGGCTTGGTCGGTCTACTGTACTTTCTGAAAATAGATGCGTTCATGGCCCGCCCCACCCCCTTACAACCTCCGCATGTCCCAGACTCATGTCTCTGTGGTGATGTCCCCGTCATATCTGTCAAAACCCATTCTGGCTTCCGGAAGTTTCTCCGGGCAGAGGCTCTGAGCCCTAAGAAGGTCTGTCACTGTTCTATTTGAACGCATCCACAGCCCTGATTTGTGTGCAGACGGCTGAGCACTGCATAATTGCATGAATATGTTTTCTGTAGTCAACTATGGGAGATGGAGACGGGAAAGAAAATACACCATACAGCAATTACATCCGTCTAACCTTGTGCGGAAATTCAGAATCTCATTTCCAGCCTGTCTCTGATTGTAATTACAAGTGCTGTGAATGTCTGTTACCAGCCCTGTGACTCTTAATGCGCTACTTCCATAAACCTCCAAAGACAGGATGGCAATTAATTCGGGAAAACCATCATTATTTTGAGCATTATTTATCTTAAATTCCCATAAACTCCAGCTAATGTTTCCCTTCATGCCATTGAAGGTTGATGATTATAATCAGTCCTTATCCCAAAAGAAAACATCATGACACTGATTTAAAGACCTGACAAGTACAGTTTTCTCTCCTGTGGTGATGTACTTCCTATTTAAACAGGAAGTTTGGGGCCCAGTGAATATCAAACGGCTTGTCCATTAAAAAAAAAAAAAGGCTTCAGTTACGTTAAAGTAGGACTCGGTAAAACGATAATGATAATTATCGCAATATAATTTTCCTCAATAAACGGTATGAAGAGTTCGATAAATGTTCGATATAATGTTTATGCACCAAAAGCGGAACGAAACAGCACTACTAATTTGAAGCGTGCCACACGGACCGTTTATCCGCTAGGCTCAAAGTTCAAATGGCAGCATGAGCTCACTAGAGCAGATGTGTTTACTCGCTGATGAGTCTCAGTCACTCGAGCACTAAACAGCGGTGTGAGATCCAGTGTGAAACGCTTGAATTCAGCGAACAACACTCTGTGATTTAAACTAGTTTAAAGCCGGATGAAACAGCGCTGACAAACAAGAGAACTGTGCGCAACGACACAGTCAGAAGGCTTTTCAATCCAAAAATTGCCATCATTTACCATGGATTTATTGTAGTAACACTAACCATACCATGGTATTGTGGCAGAAATGTGGGATAATAATAAGAAATTTTATAGTATTATTAATGTAGATATAAATTAAATGGATTAAAAGAGCAAGGGAATATAAGGGAATATAATTACAGTATTTTTTGATTCAGCTATAGCATTCATGCATTTATACTTAAATGTATTTAGACTACTGTTTTTCATACAAATACCTAGAAACAATATAATATTTTTACCATGGTATTGAGGTGCTATATGTGTGGTTTTAACTGTGGTTATGATGATCTAAATGTATGCTACTATGGAAGACCAATGGTTAAAGTTAATAAAACTCAAACAGAATAATAATTACATTTCGCCATATAAAAATGAGGCAATAAAGATTAAAAAATGTATCGTGATAATTATCGTTATCGACTGATATTAAAAATGTTATAGTCATTTTTTTGGCCATATCACCCAGCCCTACATCAAAGCCATGAACCATTTGCTATTGCTTGTCAGTCGCAGTGGGTGAGCCATTCTCATACTAGAGGGCATCTGATTGGACAAAAATCTGTGTAGTGCAGGATGAGTCATCAATAATTTTGGCCCATTTTCCAGGAAACGAAACACTTTTAAATGCGTATATCTAAAATTCACAGTGAAACTATAGTAGCAACTTTTTTTCTGTGTTGTGACATACATCCAAGTTTAACAGATTTTTTCAAAAAGAAAAAATGTAGGGCGGATACTGGATTTTGAGAGATATAGACATGTTTGCGTGTTGCAGTCAATTGTGGAGGGGTGTTGTTATACTGACTAAATAAATGAAGTCCGGCATACATGACCAGACAGAAGTAGGGTTGTGCCGATAGATGATAGTATAGTGCAGTGTTTCCCAACCTTTTTTTGTCGCGGCACCCTTTGGAAATTTTAACAAACTTGTGGCACCCTACATTTTTTAATTTTACAGTTGGGTAATTTTGGTGCAGTATAGCACGAGATAGCTTGATTTCAAACTTTGAATTGAATAAAAAATGACAAGTAAGCAGTCAGTAATAAAATAAGAACAAATAAAGAAATGAATAATGATAGCACAAATAAAAAATAACGACAGGCCTTCGAATTAAATAAATTGCTTTTTAGTTTTTCAGGTAGGTCTAACAGTAGGGTTAAGATATTTAACTTTTTTTTTTTTTTTTTACCAATTATCCAAATAATGTTTAGTCCTAGAAAGCTATTATTATCAGAACACGTGAGCATAAAATAGCGGTTAGCAGATCAATGAATGAGAGGGCAGCGTTACCAAAGTTGCCCATTTACTACACCATGTTACAACACAGTAGGGCTATTGCAGACAGAAACAATACTGTACTACATCGATGTTTCCTGTCGGCTCAATTTTTGAGTGGACTTTGCTGTTCCGATGAGCATGAACGGTATACGAGTGGAGCGACTGAGCGGAGCGCACACACATAGAGCGGGATAATACGCAGAGCGTCACACCACTTGAAAGTGAAACCTGAGCTGTGAACCAATTTTCGGCAGCCGAAATTTCTGTGCATCTCTAATTATTGGCGACATCAGAAATGGATATTATATAATAGATGCTTTTTTGAACATTTTAGCAATTTAAAAATATTAAAAAATGATTTTTTACACGGCACCCCGGTTGGGAAACACTGGTATAGTGTATTGACGATAGTCAGAGATATTGCCTATGGCTGATGCCTTTGAGGATAGCAAGACGATTATTATTGTTATTATTAATACTATTTCATTGATATTAGGGCTTATTTGTTCCATTTTTTCCCTGTGTTTTTACAGTGTTGCGTGTTATAACCAATCAATCACACACGATTCTGTTGAGTTTATGAATGCAACGGCCAATCAGAGATGTTCAGATGAGTCATTGCTGAAACACCGGAGTTTTGTTGTTGAGTTCGCGCGCTGAATGAATTCTGACTCGCAAATTCTCTCATTATAAACAACAAAGTGCAGATGTATGTGCGATGTAAGTATAAGAGATTTATTCATCATACAGTGTAGATGGCTTCGATTATTATAACGGGAGTGTTTTTTAAAGTGCATATACTCGCGTTAGACTGAAGTCATGTTCTTTGATAATTTAAATGTACTTTGCTCATATTCTGTAGCTGCTGTTTGAATAACTGAGGAAATATAAGCATTAGAATTAGTAACTTACAATGTTGCTATTAAATTATGTTAAATACAAATTCAGTCATATTAAAAATATTTTATATATTTAGTTAATATTACACTAACATTAGGGTGCATTTAGCCTTACCCTGGAGTTGGTTCACTCTCCGGCTATGAAGCTAAGTAAGTAAATAATTAAATAAATTAGCATGATAATATCGTGTATCAGCGATCTCACAGGCTGATGATAGGACGATATGACTATGGAGTATATCCCCCAACACTAGAGAGAAGTCTGTCATTTTAAGTTTTAACATTTTGATTAATATTATAGATGAAAAAATAGTTCACAATAAGATCAATACCATGCATTTCAGTCGTGGCCTAATGGATAGAGAGTCGAACTTGTAACCCGAAGGTCACGGGTTCGAGTCTCAGGACCGGCAGGGATTGTAGGTGGGGGGAGTGAATAACCAGCGCTCTCTCCACCCTACGACTGAGGTTAGACCCTTGAGCAAGGTAACTGCTCCACCGGGCGCCGCAGTAATATGGCTGCCCACTGCTCCGGGTGTGTGTTCACGGTGTGTGTGTGTTCACTGCTGTTTGTGTGCACTTGGATGGGTTAAATGCAGAGCACAAATTCCGAGTATGGGACACCACACTTGGCCACACATCACTTCACTTCAAACTTGAAGATGATTCCCCTACTAGTGAAAGTTTCAAAGCTAATAAACAGACTAAAAAGCCACAAAATCCCAATTTTGATTTTATGAGGTCTTTAACATCGAGTATGCAGTGTAAAGAGAGTCTACTCACCCTCTACAGGGCAGTAACGGGTGACCTTCTCGGGCATGAGCTGGCGTTCTTTGTGGCGGCAGTAAACCTCTGCTATCTGCTGCCGGCACTCCTTGGTCTTGGTGCGAGAAAGGGCGGAGATCGCCTCTTTGCCACTGATCTCGCATTTGGGCGGCTGATCATACTTGATGTTGGCGGTGGGTGTGGCCAATCGCTTGGCCTGCTGAAGATGGTGCCGGTGCTGCAGGGACTGCTGTGGACTGAGGGTGGGATTGGCCCTCCGCTGAAGGTCGGTGCGCGTATGATTGAAGCCACCTTTGTTCTGTGCATACTGAATGACCTCGTTGGAGTTCTTGCTCAGGCTTTGCTGCGCATGCGCCTTCTCCAGAAGGCCTTGTTTGTGCTTGCCGGGTGCATGTCTCTGAGTCTGTGAACGCGCCACGAAATTACTGTTGTCTATATTCTCAAAGTCTTTGGGAACGGAGTTCTCGTTGTTGCTGTCCACGCGGACTTTCTCCTTGGGCCGATGCGAGTAGTAGCCGTCCTGAAACATGAAAACAGATGAAATCAGTAGCTGCTACTACTAGAACATCAATGTCACACCAGATAAAACACAACATCATCAAGTTTTATGCCTCAGTTAGTTTTATAAGCAATCAGACATACAATTTCTTTAACTATTTTTTGGTTGAACAATATAATGGGTGAATAAACATTTAATAGTTTTACATTAGAGACCTGGAGATGGGCTCTTTTGACTTGGGTCACTATGCAACCTCCTATCAACCAAGTAGAACACCCTAGAAAATGCATATCAACATCCTTGCAGCCTCTCAGAACACCTTAGCAACTGCATACCAATGACCTGGCAACCGCCCACAGCACTTCTCACAGTTTTACAATTCAGAAAACATCTAGTTCCTTGTGCGCTGTTAAAAAAAAAAAAAAGGCATATTGACACAGGTGTCTGCCGGCATATGAGTAACATTATTGAGCAACAGTAAAACTATTCAGTATAGTATGTAAGCTTATCAGACTTTAACCACACAGTAATTCACAGGGAGCATGACCTCAGGTCATCTCTGCTATTTTGCAGTTTCCTGCAAGTGTCACTGCTGATGGAATATTCCACTGGTAACAGTGTGTGCAACAGGAAGGAGGTTGCAGCCATGCCCTGAGCGCTGATATGATTGCAGGAGACATCTCTGTAGCTGTGAATGCTATAGGAGAGGATATGATCTCTGACATGACAGGACGACTATCTACATGGTGTTTTGCAAATAAATGTGCATTTTTTTTTCATTTTATCTCTTTATATCTTTTGTTGATTCCATTAGCAAGTCATTCGCCCATTTCAGCTTGAATATAAACGCCAACTCAGTCTCATGCTGAAGTGTAAACAAATTTTTTATTTGAAAGAAAGTAAAACTTCTTCAAACTATTCTTCAAGCATGCATTAGATATCAAAAGTGACACAACTGCTTTCAACATTGACAATAAGAAGCATCAAATCAGCATATTGGAGTGATTTCTGAAGGATCATGTGACAGTGAAGACTGAAGTAATGGCTGCTGAAAATTCAGCTTTGCTATCACAGGAATAAATTTCATTTTAATACATATTAATTTATGATAATGACATGATAATTTAATTTATATAGGCTAGTTTCTTGGCAATAGTGTTCAAATGTTGCAAAATGTAAAATAAAGCTCATTAGAATATAGGGCTGCACGATAAATCGCATGCGATATTTAACGCGCATCTTGTCAGAAAGCCGGTTCTGTAATCAGCGGTAAATCTCCATCACCTGCGGGCTTTCACATTGAGCAGCATTAACTACACAGAGCCATTGTTCACTGACGAGCTGCGCAAAAAATCGCGCGAATATGAACGTGGTTTTGCGCAGCTCGTCAGTGAACAACGGCCCTGTGTAATAAATGCTGCTCAATGTGAAAGCACAGCACGTGATGGAGATTTACCGCTGATTACAGAAGCGGCTTTACTGATAAGATGCGCGTTAAATATCGCATGCGATTTATCGTGCAGCCCTATTAGAATATGTAAAATAAATACAACTATGGTTAATATTTATAAAGAAAACAATTAAAATCACAGGTGCTACATCTTAAATTCCCTTTACTGCAAGTCAGTTCAGTCTGCTGCCATTTACACAAACAGTGATTTTCAGCCATGCAAACACACCTCCTATTTACTTGAAAGGCCGAAAATAACTGCTCGCAAACACTACATTTTCATAAATTACAAATCAAAAATAAAATCTAACAACAGTGTTTTAAAAAACACTTAAGCTAAAACCACCCCAAAAATATTCAGCCATAAACATGCCCATTTCAGAATAAACAAACACGTGATCGTTTTAACTATAAGGCAGGACTACAGAAGGGTCAATACATCATATTGAGAGTTTGGATGTCTCTGCCTTATGAAACATGTGACAATAGCCAGTTTAACATTACAACCTTTTTGACATGATCTCACTAACTTCCCCATGCATCGCATCCCCTGACTTCTCAAAAACATCCCTACATCCTGTCAACTGCTCTTACTTTTCCCCAACTCATTCTGTCCACCGATTACTGCGCCACGCTTAAAGGATGCTGTACGTAAAGGAAGACAGCAAAAGAGACATTAATAGGAGGAAATGGAAACAAGCAAACAGAAAAAAAAAATCAGAGAGAAGGAGATGAGGACAGGAAGTAAGACGAGGCACTGCTGCAACTCTCATTTCCTTACCGTTATGGTGCAATTTGTCTACAAAGCATTTATTAAAGCTTGTTTGTGAACTCACAGAGTGTATTATTTGTGAGGGAAATCTTTCGAAGACAAATCCCTGTCGCGTCACCCGCACTTTAGCCCTCTAAAGGCTACCGTTTAGAGCAGACTCCACTCCAGTCTGCTCCTCCTCCTCCTCCTCCAGGAGCTTTCAGGAGGAAATTACAGTGCCTGGGATTAATAGCCTGAGCAACCACAGGAGGTAAGTTAGGCTGCTGGAGAGAAGACTATCGATCGCTTGCAAAAATCTGTCATTTCCCAAGGTGCTCTGGGAGCCCTGCTCTGCACCGCTGAGCACCCTGGCAGTCGCAGGCCTTCTGTATTCTCTCTCAAACGGAGGAGGCTCCCCTCTCTCTTGCATCATCCATCACAGGAATGGTGGGAGTCGCACACTCGTTTATCAAGCACACTTTTATCTGGCTCTTTTTCCACCTCTCTGATGGCGAAGAACATCACAGGCCACACACACACACACGAACACTAGAACTGGGCGGTATGATGGTATATACCGTAAAAATGTGTCAGCCGGCAGAGATTCTGCTATATCGTCAACACTGCCGCGCAATTTAAACAATCTGAAAGGAAACAGAAAAGTACAGACAGCGCAGAGCAGACAGGCTCTTCTAGTGTTCACAGCTTTATTGATTACAATAGGAGCGATTTGGTTATAGTTTCCAGTGCCGTGTTTCTGGGTAGTTATGATTGCTGATATAAATGACAAAATATTTGAGAGAGGCTTTCCCTGCAGTCATTGGCACGGCGGCGAGGAACGGTCCGACACTGGAATGCTGCTTTGCCTGTTCTCTCAAAGCCTCACGTCAGAGACTGTTTGACAACTATAGTTATATGTAACTGTACACCTTAATGGTTTAAATGAATGAATAAGGTTTGAGGGAGAGTGCACACATGAAACCTAAAACCAAACAACACTCCCTTAATCTGTCCTGATTTTCCTCCGCCTTCACAGTCCATCAGCTAATACGCGGATACTGTGGGAATAATAAAATACTACTTATGTATCTGATCTCTTCTGATCCAGGCCAACTGCATCTCTCGATCTGAGCCTTGTGGAGTGAAAGTCATAAAACCTAAGAACATAACTTCACCTCAAAAAAAGAAAGAAAGAAAAAAAAATGAAGAGGCTTTTTTGCATTGTAGCAATATTTTTATGACAATTAATCACATTTACACTCAAAGTACTGCCAAGCACACCAGGAAAATCATGTAAATTAATACCTTAAATGATGGCCGTTTTTCTTATAATTAATCATAATGACATTTTTCTAGTTATGCCAAGCTCAAAAATATTTTAATAGGGTAGAAACTGTGAGAGAAAAAAATATTCATTCTTATTCAGTAAACCACAAAAAAACTGAAAAAGTCATGAGGCTTTTGACTGTTGTTGTGAACAAAGAGGGGACCTGGAGTCAAAAAGGCTGAGAATCACAACCCTAACCTCAAGTATGAACAATACTGTGGCTGTTTTTCTTTTAGAATGCACCACTACAAATAACAATTAAAGATCCACTCAAATTCAACATGCACATAAAAAAATGGTCATCCACAAGTGATGTAGCAAGTACCAAAATGCAGTTCGTGAGTCGCCTGGATCAAAACGGGTGAATCACATCTCAGCAGAAGCTTGTTGGACTAACAGCACTGGGACTGAATGGAAATACTGCTAGTCAACTATTAGGAGAGTCATAAATACTTCAGTTCTCTGTGAAGCTGATGCAAAAAGGACGTCAGGAAACATTACATGACTCAGCCTAAGGCTACAAGATATGAGCTTTGACTGTACAAAAAATATGCATGGGGAATGGATGTGTAAGCTGGTGCACATATGGATGTAGACATGAAAAGAGCATTCGTGCAAAAAAAACTAAAACAAAAAAAAAACTATGTGACTATGACTCAAGACAATGGGCCAGGAACTAAAATGTCTCTTTCCATGAGTAATCTCACAGTCTCTGACCAAATGTGACACCTCACACACAGTTTGCTGCTTTACCAAAAATAAATTGATAACAAATTAGATAATGCAATAAGCATGCACTAGGAAATGCAGGCCGCAAATCCAAAAGTCACTTCTAATCACTGTTCATGCTATTTTTGACCAAATGTAACACCTCACAGTTTGCTTCCACCAGCAAAGGTCGGCAAAGTTTACCTCACCCTGTGCCCCAGGGTTGCAGGGGTCACCTTCCTAGAGGCTGCCCTCTCGCTGACCTCTCAGCCTGGGTGGCTGCGCAGGATCAGTGCTGAATGAGTCACAGAGAGCTGGGGGTGGGGAGACGTCACATGTGCAGACTAGACACAGAAAGTGAGCTTGCGAGCTGGTTATAGTATGCGGGACGGGCGCTGAAACCCAACTCTGACCTTTCCTACACCACAGAGAGCAGCTCCATCAATCACTGTGACTGTCTACAAGCTACTCAATCAAACTGAACTGAAGCCAGCGATCCACATCGAATCCTCATTCACAGAGTGGGTGTCTGAATCTTAATAAAAACAGCCCCAGTTGACCTGCTCGTAAAGGTCAAACTCTGGACAAGTACAAAAGAACACTGGGGCTTTGTTCAGAACAGTAGCGTAGTACATGTTGCACAGTTTATACTTGATACTGCCAACAAATTGTAAAACCAATGTTAAATCTAGATTATACCACAATAAACATTTCAAATAGTAGCATTCTTACTAGTCTTATCAAACAATGAGTCAGGGCTGATTTAAGTCACATGGAAATAAGGG